TTCTTGAGTCTTTATGCCTCCAGTTTGTTTTACTTCCCTGTGAAAGCATCATAAGGTTTGGTTGCAGGTACCCAAATGAACTTAAGGCTTTTTATGTTAGTGGTAGGAGTTGGTTTCTTAGGAATCCACTTGTATGTTCCCTAGGGGATACCAACTTTCTTGAAATAACAAGATTTTGAAATATGCCAAATAGTATTGCAGTAAAAACATGTAACAAAGGAAGATTTACTCAAATCAGCAAATTTCTTTGAATTAATTCTTTCACTTTTTGCAAAGTAACCTATGCCTTGTTTATTTATGGCCCTTCTTTGAGAACCAAGTACTGCTTCCAAATTTTATTTGCCTAGAGTAAACTTAGATAATGTTCTAGTAAAATAGTCAATTTTCTCTAGGTAAGCAGGGCAATCAGTATAGTCTTTAACAACAATTTTCGCTTCAGTTTTAGCATCTTTAATAGACTGTAAAGCAATATCAAGATCAAATTTCAAACAAGTATTATCATCAACAAGGTTATTTATCCTATATTCAAAATCCTTTTTCTCATTGTTTAATCAATTAACCTTGTATTGGAGCCTCATGGCTTCTGCATGTAGTTCTTGAAAGGCATCCAGCAGTTGATCATATCTTATGTGCATTGGTTAATCATTGAAACTGCATCCACTCCCTTCTGAGTTCACTGAGCCCACCATGAGACATACGTTATTCTCTTCTTTTAGACTTTGATCATCTTCATCACTTGAAGAGCAACCTGAATCACATTCTTCCTAGGCAATATAATCACTTGCTCCTCCTTTTGTCTTGATTTGATCTTTCATCAATTTTCTGCTTCATTTTCAAGATAAGACAATTTGGTTTTATATGGTTTTCTTTGCCACATTCATAGCAGGTAGGAGTGACAACCTTGCTTCTCCTTTTGTTGCCTCTAGCATTCCTTGCAAAATCATATACAAAATTTCTAGATTTCTAGATTTCATAAATCTTGAAAACTTCTTTACCATCATATTTAATACTTCCTTTTCTGGCAGTACTGAATTTGAGTCTGCATCACAGTCATGCTTTCTTGAACTATGTTTACTTGTAGTCTTGAGGGTAATTGAATGTTTCTGCTCACTTTCTTCTTCCTCCCTCAATCTTCCTAGTTCAAACTCATGTTCCCTAAGCTTCCCAAACAAGGTGGCCATATTCATTGTAGTCAGATCCCTCGATTCTAAAATTGCAGTAACCTTTGGTTGTTAGTTTCTGTTCAAACTCTTCAAAATCTTGATATTAATTTCCTCCTTGTTAAATGATTTTCCAATAGTAGTTAGATGATTAACAATGTGAGTAAAACGTTTCTAGACATCATATATATTCTCTCCAGCCTTCATGCGTAACATTTTGTACTCTTGGATCAAAGAATTTTTCCTGGCCCTCCTAACTTCATATGTTCCTTCACGAGTAACCTCTAGGACATCCCACATCTCCTTTGCTGAAGTGCAATTTGATACTCTGAAGAATTCATCCATAGTTAGTGTCGAGGAAATGATGTTCTTTACCTTCACATCATAATGAGCTCTTCTACTCTCGTCCAGATTCCATTTAGTGAAATTCTTTTTCACAGTTTTGCCATTAACCACTTTAACAGGCTCATATGGACCATTTATCACTACATCCCATACATCTTTATCAATTGATCCCAAGAAAATCTTCATTCGAATTTTCCAAAAGGGATAGTTTTCTCCTTCAAACAAAGGTGATCTGTTTGTGGAAGCACCTTCTCCAATTTTTTGAGAAACAAATATCATCAAGATTGATTTGATCAATTATACTGAAAACCTAATCGATTAAAGTTTGAGTAACTTTCTAAAAATTACTGTACTCTCCTCACAACTCCAAATCACTTATAGCAAAAATACCCAGAAAGAACAATTATCTTTTTGTCAACCCTTAGAGATACCCCACTCTAAGTCACAAGATCTCCTCTAAGTCCTTCTTCTTGGCCAGCAGCAACAGGGAACAACAATCAGACTTGATTGCAAATAAAAACAGATCTGGTACAGTACACCTTGATGTGTAGAAAGTGACCAGCCAATGTAAGCTCTTCAATTCTTCAAAGAATCTTGATGAAAATATCCAAATGTATGAATTCTTGATTCTTGAAGAGAGTAGGATGCTCTTGTAATAAATGTCAATAAACAATGTCGGGTACATAAAGATATGATTCATTAAAGTTGTTGAAAACAGAAGCAATGCGTCTATTTATAGATTTTCACAACTCTGACGCAATTTAATCGATTACGCTATTATACAAATTTACATTTTCAGCATTTAACAGATTAAGCAGAGCATGTAATCGGTTAACCAAAACATGGAAGTCATAGTATTTAAAAATATGTTTGTTGTGATAGTTATGGTTATTCTTGGAAAAGGTTTTCAATCAATGCACAATTTAACCGCTTAAGAAATTAGTGTAATCAGATAAGTTTCAAACTTAAGCATTTTGAAAACTTTTTCTATTCAAAACACATCAATGCACTCAGTAAACATGTGCAGGCATAACTACGAGTTTTAATCGATTATATCCATAATGTAATTGGTTAAAACTTGATGTTTTGCCACTGTTAAGCATGTACTGATATCTGATGAATTTAACATATTAAGCAAGTTGTGTAATCGATTAATTCATACAGATATGTAATGTGTAAAGTGTTTCACCAAAAATTCATTTGTAAATAGTGAATGCATAACACAGATAGTTCAAGCACATATACAGATATAAACAAACAACAATTTTGCCATGTGCAAGAAACTATAAAACATTTATGTTGTCATCATCAAAAACTCATATGTGAGATATGAGTTCAGCTTTACATAGCTCCCCCTATCAACACTATGGAAGAAACCTTTTACATAAGATATCAAATGAAGTTGTGAAACGGTTTTAGGAGTTGTCCTAACTACAAGGGTAGAATTTGAAATGTAGAAAAAACACTAGAATGGGGAAGGGGTTTGAATAGTGCTTTTAAACTCTTTCGCAAATCAACACTTAATAACTATTGTAGGGGTTAGACGGTCTGTAATAGCTCTTAGACGTATGTTTTCAATAAAGTGGTTTAGGAAAATGTTATAAATAAGGGAAGCAATGATACAAGTATTCTTATACTGGTTCACTCAACCTGAGCTACGTCCAGTCTCCCTTAAGAACTTTTAAGGGGTTCCACTAATATTTTTCAAAGATTACAAATGAGTACAAATCACTCCTAGTATACACCAAGTATTATCAACCTCCCCTCGTTTCCAAGTATTATTAACCACTCCTGGTTCCTAAGTATTAAATGCAACTCCTGGTTCCCGTAGTCAATCCTGACTAGTACGAGTTTAAGCACTCTTGGTATACAAGTATTCTCAACCACTTCTAGTTTCCCTAGACAATTGTCTAGAACGTTTAACTCAATTGAGCTAAATAGTATAAGTTTTTTAATTCACTTCTAAATATCCAAACATAATTAGTGTTTGATTACAAGCACAAATTTTGATAACCCTCAAGGAGACTTTATACGCATGTTTCATAATGATGTCTAAGGTCTAGTGCATCGTTTGGTTATGCTTAGTCATAGCTAACACTTAGACACTTTGTCATATTGTTCAGACGATATATCTCTTGTTCAAGCACAATGTTGATTAAACACTCCGTTAAGAGTTCTATAGCATTTGGTCTTTTTATGTTTATGCATTAGACATGTTTGAGATATCGAATAGTTATGTATCATTTGATGACATTTAGTGCGTGATCCTGGTATCTTAGACAATTCGTTCTGTCAGATGCACAGTGGCTTAACACGTTTGGATATTGATTCCTAAGCATCACCATTTAGCACAATGATTACTTGGACTATGTTTCCATTATACCAAACGTTGTTTGTGTTTAGACAAAATTCACTTTAAGTGTTATATTCTTTATAAATGTTTATCTTGTTCAATACTATGGATAGATTGTTATATCTGATAAACACTTATTCAGTATTATCCTTTAACCATTTGTCGTTATATTCTGTAATTAATATTTCGTTAAGTGTTGTTTGTTAAACTTTGAAACTCAAGTTACTAAACACTCTAGTTTCTTTAAACGATCTTGTCTTAACATAATTATGGAATTTTATTTTCTTAAATTTAGAATTTTTTGTTTGTTTTATTTTTTATTTTTGGTTATTTAAAGATTAGTTGAATATATATACTTGATTTGTTTTGTGATATGGTTCTATTAAAAAAAACAAAAGGATATAAAGAAGTAATACGTAAGGTGTATTTTTTTGTTCAGGACGATGAAAGAGATGTCATTATCTCTGAGACAAATGAAAAAGATATATAATCTAAAAAATCTTAAACTTGTGTTTGGATAAAAAAAATTAGTAATGTTAAAAAAATAAAATACATTATATTTAAATTATTCACTATTGAATTTTCTTTACTTCGTAAATAATATGTTTGGATTAAGTAATTGAAATATCTTATATTATAATTTTTTTTATTTGAAAAATTAATTTAATTTATTTTTTAAGACAATTTTATTTTAAAAATATTTGAACATATGACTTGATTCAACCTTTTTTTGTTGAAAATAGCTTCCTTCAACTTAGGTCTAATTATCCGAATCTTTGACAATGTGATGTTTATATATATATATATATATATATTTTAATTTGAAAGACTTTTTATGTTTATGTGTATTTTGTAATGTTATTAACGATGTGATGAACAAATTAACTGTTAATTTCAGTATAAGCTAATATCTTCTACAATACTTAATTCGTATATTTGAATTAGTTATTTTAAATTGGATGAAGTTGTTAGCTAGGTTTTACTAATATATTAACCAACAAAATTGTATATTAATAACATATAGTTTAAAACAAAAAAATAATTAAGTTTTAAGACGAAATAGAGTTAAAAACTCATTTTCTATTAAATGCAGTAATTAAAAACAAAACTTTTCCATGGTACTTTTGAAATTATGCTTGGAATTAAAAAAACAAAACACTTATACATTCTGGTAGTGATACAGTTCCAGTTCAATATAAATACATTTCACACCCACAATCAAAATCATATTACAGAATCATTACAGCACAATTAAATAAATAAAGTAAAAAATATGAATAAGAATAATAGTGCATGCATGCATATATTTGATTTTATGCCTTAATCTGTCTTGCTGCTTTTATGATAATCTGAAGAGAATTTTCCAGAGAAGACTTGAACAATTGCTTATCGATAAAGTCTTTTTCTACTCCAAATGCAATTCTTATCTTTCCCATGTAACTCATGATTGTCATGGTCAGACTCTGCAACCATCAAATGTTTTCTTTCAAAATGTAAACAAATATCAAACAGTGATAGCAAACTAGAACGAGTGAAAAGAAAATGTTAAAAAGGAAAAAATTACTTCAATGTATATTAATAAAATTAGAATTCTTTTTCTTTAATTAATAAAAAAATATAACTACACAATTTAATTGAACAAAATCATTCTCGTGAAATGATCTACTTTGATTAATTAATCGAAAAAACAATTATATATATATATATATATTAGCAAAATATCAAAGAAAAGTTGAAAACTTATAAATAATTCTTTTATATTTTTTAATACTCATTTAATTATTCTGTCTACTTAATATATTTATTTAGTTTTTATGTAAAAAAATTTAATTTTTAACTTCAAGTATTTAATCATATAAATCCTTTGTACAGTGAATAACATCTCTTTCCAGAGTATTCTCTCTTAATATTTAATGTGTATAATCCTACAAAATTTACTTTTATTTCTAAGATATTTTTCTATTATTACACATCTTTTTATATGATTTCATTCGATTTTAAAAATATAATTCTTAATTTTATTAAATCAAATTATTTTTACTATATTTTATAATTATTTAACATTTATTCAATTTTTTATTTGATATTTTAATTTGATATTTATTATAATTTTACTTTTTATATTTGACATAAAAAAATGTGTACTTTTTTGCATTGAAACCTTGATATTATCATGTTTCTTATAAATAAGATCACAGAAATTTTATAATAATGTAATAGAAGAACTGAAGATATAATTTTTTTTACTAATTTTAAGTAAATTTACTTATGATGCTGTAAATTAAAAGTAAGAATATACTACTGATAAAAAAACATCATTAATATTATATTAAACATTAAATGATAATAGAAAAGAGACAGAAATATTAGTTTAATCAGTCAATAAATTTCTGTCACCTTTTAATTAATATGTGGGGGCTAGGTCTATGTTATTGGTTGACATGCATTGATGTGCAACCTAACAAAACCCACATACACACCATTCATTAATTGTCGCTAGTAAATGCAGAAAGCAATGTCTGGAACACGTGTATGTTCTTGGGAAAAACTAGGATTTATGTGGAAAAAAAATTATCTGTCAACTTTTGAAATTGCTAAAAAATATTAATAAATATTGATCTTAATGTTTTGAAATACATTAAAAAATTTAAGATTATATATTTTAAAATTCAGTAAAAATAACACTAAAAAAATAAATTAAAAATCTAAATAAAAAAAGATATTACTGACACAGATGAAGAACAATAATAAAATCCAGACATACCTCAGGTGAACCAGCCACCATGAAATAAAATCCTTTGATTGGAATATTAGCCACAGCCATTTGTTCCACTGGTCCAATCATATTTGAGATTGTTGTGCTTGAGTTTCTCAAGGTTGAGTACAAGTATTTAGCTGCAGCCTGATACAAAGTCACAAGAGGATGATCATAATCATTATTATGGAAAATATTTTCTTTTTTACAATTTTTTTACCTCAGTTCCTCTTAGTTTTCTGAGTGTATCGAGAAGCATGGCAGTGAGAGGAGTGGCGAAAGAAGTTTTCTTTTTAGCTATCTCTTTATGTGCTTCAAAAATAAAGTGAAGAGGATTTGCATATTTGGAATCAGTGAGTTGTGGAATTGGAACATGCAAAAAGGCATATTGATTTCCCCATGCAGAATTGCTATTTCTCTTTTCCACCATTTCCTTTATAGATTTGTACCCTTCAATGTTTCTGGTGTTCAGCAGAACCAGTGCTGTGGAATGACCCTCCCTTGATTTCTCACTCATTTCTTCCATGTATAGCCTAATTCCAAAGAATATTACCCCAGAAAGCACATCATTTATGCTCTGTCCTCATGTCCATAACACCATTATCCAACAAAAATAAACATAATTAATACACTTGCTAAACATATTTAGACACATGGTTGCTTAAAAAATACATTTCTAATTGGATTTTCCTACTTTTCAATGCTAATTCAATTGTTATAATCTCATTTAATATTTATATACATTGCCACCAATGTGTAATGTCACATCAATATGTATATTATCATTAAATTAACAAAACTGAAGTTTTCACTATTAAGTTAGGAGACCAATTTGCCAAAGTTGAGAAAGACAAAAGTCCACAATAATAATAAATAATAATAAAGCCATAATTAATCTTTTTCGTACCCAATAAATTTTTACACCTACTTTATATTTACTATTTTTTTTGTTAATTTGTTTTTAAATATAAAAATTCATTTTTTAACAATTATATCGCGTGTTTTGCGTCAAAAATAATCAAGTTTTAAAGAGAATTAAAAGGTAATTAAGTTACGAAAAACATGGATATATGGAAGTGAGATTTATTATCCTAAAAGCTGTGTAATAATGAACTTGATGATATATGAAAGTTTAGAAAGATTTGACCTACCACTCCAAGTTTAGATTTGACTTCCTTGATAAGATCGAAGGAGAAAGAAACATCGGAGATGTTGATATGTCTTGTCTTGGTGTCTTCAGCAGCAGATCTAATGGGGGTTTGGTCATCTTCAATCAAGTTACTCTTCAACAAGCTCCATCCAAAATCGGAAAGAGTACGAAGAAAAACGGAGGGCAATCTCTTGAACAGCCCTTTGGTGTTAGACATTGGTGTTTTGGGTGTTTGGCTTGATGGGAGTGTGAAGGGTAGAGAGACTTTGTCAGCTCTTTCCATGCATGAAAGAAGGGCACCCATGAGAGAGAAACCATCCCCTAGGGCATGGTGGAGTTTGAACACCAAGGTTCCCATGCCTTTGCTTGTAGGGTACTTTACAATGTGAAGTTCCCATAAGGGTCTATGTTGTGGCAAGTGTTCCACAGCTATTTTTGACATGTATTCATCAAGATACTCATCATATAACAAGTTTGAAGAGTTATTGCCACTTTCAAATGTAGGAACTTTGATATGATCCTCAAGCTTCACTTCAACTTTCTTCCACTTTTTATCTCCATTTTTGTCCCTGATCTATTGTTCAAATCCATAGTCAGTTTTTCTTTTTTTTTTTTTTGTCTTGGAGGCAATAACAGCAAAAGGGTACATACATGCCTAATCAAATCAATTATGTATATTTTATACATATATAGTGCATGCATAACAGCACATTTTCTTTTGATTTGATTAAAAGTATGTGTCTGTAACTAGTTATCTTCTTTTTCATCTTATTTTCACTTTATTTTGTTTCTCCCTTTTTTTCCATCACATTAACTATCATATTAGACTCATACAAGAATACCATGGTTTGTGTGAGAGAAAACGTTGGTGGAGAAATAACTATGAAGCAAAATGATGGTATATAATAAATGGTGTGGGGATTTCTTGAAAAGAAATAAGATTAATTTATTCGGTATAAATCACAATAGTAATTTTGTAAAGATGATTTAGTTAAAATCACATCTTAATATAATATTAAAATATATCTTAATTAATAATGTTGGTTGGATTTATTATGTCATATTTCATCGGATCACTTTAAATAATTCTACATAAATTAATGTATGTTAAATATTTTACATTAGATAATTTGTGGTGTCATTTATGTAATGGGTAGGTGTGGCATAGAGAAGTTGAAGGCAATGTGTAAGTGTAAGTATAATTTACTTTGGGTAGTGTAATTAGAGGCATGTATTTTGGCTAAAGAATGGGCAGGGGAATGGGTAACATGGCTCAATTTAGGAAGGTTTCTTCATAACTTAGGAAGGCTAGTCATGCCGGCCTTTACGCAGATGCTATATGGATACCTATGCATTAAAGGCACTTTAAAGAAAGAATTTTTAAAGTCGATGGAAATTCATTTCTATTAAATGGGTTCCTACCCTTATATTTACATACATGCACACGATTTTGTTTTTAAATTTAAGCTTAATTATTGGATGGTCTCTACTTTGGTCCCAAATGTGTTAATTTTGTTTTCGTTTTTTCATCTCCAAGTTTAGTAATGTGTAGTAATCAATCTTTTTTTTGTTAACGTGGTTTAAATCATCAATGCTAACTTATTAGGCATGCTTTCGTGATAATTTATACAAACTGTCACACATAATTAAGGATTTTTTTATGTAAAAATTTGAATAAGAAAAGTAAAAAACAAAGCGTTGAGAGGTCACCAAGGTAGTCAGAGAGTTCGACTGAGCGCATAGAGAACTCAAATAGTTAGAGCTCGACTAAGTGCATGAAGAACTAAAATAGCTTAGTTAGACATACATAAAACTCAATAAAATATATAGAGAAGTCAAATAGCTCAACAAGACATCCCTAGAACTCGATAAAATGCATCAAAAAGTCAAATAGTTCGGTGGAAAGTCCAATTAATTTAGTAAAATACATGAAGAACTCTAGATGAAAAATCCAGATAACTTGATCTGACTTACCGAGGTCTTCGTATGTATGGTTGACACATAATGAATTTAGAAACGGAATTAAAAAAATTTTAGAAATGGAAAACAAATTGACAGAGTGTCTCCAAAGTGAAAATTATCCATGTAATTAAGCCTAAATTTAATTAACTTACTTATATATTAGATTTTTGTTTTAATATTCAGATAAACTAAATTGCAATAAACACATTTTTCATTTTGTTAGCACTTTTTGGAAAAAAAAAATTACTTTACCACCTGAGTGGTGGAACTTATCTAGATCTTAAAGTTAAAGTTGGAAGCCAGTGTTGTGAGTGACAGAAACGCATGTTATGATAGATGCAGGAAATTTGCCACAAAAATACTCTATTAAAAATATACTTCCCGAGAAAGAAAAAATAGGTGTTTGATCTACAAGACATATTACATAATATATACCAAATTCTTCACTAGTTATGCATTAAAAATAAAAAAAAAGTTTTTAATATATATTTGAAGATATAAAAATGAGTAATTAAAAAAGAGAAGAATATAAAAAATGTAAGTGAAAAGATGGTTACCATGACAGAGGAGAAACGAGGGTTGATGGGAAGGAAGAGATTGTGAAGAAGTGGGAGAGTTTGAGAGTCATCGATAATGGGAAGCTGAGTTTCCATGACAGCAAGAATGTAAATACTGAGTGAAGAGCTTGTCAAGTATTGCCCTGTTGGACTCACTGGCTCCATAATCTCTTCCTCGCTGATTGCTTCCATTCCTTCTTCACCTTAAACCAACCAAGGAAAACTTTTGTTGTTGAGATTCATGGGAAGAGGCAACATATTTAAAACAAGAGAGAGAAATGTGTGAGGGAAATTAATAAAATATCTGACCAGTTTGTTTCGTCCTCTTTAATGGTCGCACAACTATCACTCCCACCCTTCGACGGTTCCATAATGTTTACGAAAATTATAGAATTTGTGGTAGCTTTAAGCATTCAATTCTTACTCTGTCAGACCATTCATTTTGGACACAGCAAAAATGAGGAAAGGGTGGCGTAACATATAGGAACAGAATAAAACTCGTAATTTTTTTTTATATATATAAACTTCTATTGGACATCATATATACCTTGAAATTTTAGTTAAAACTGACATATAAAAATATATTAGTCATTTATTATTATATAAAAATTAATATTAAAGAAATACGAAAACAAATATTGAAACTAAACCAAACTCATACATGAAAAAAATCAACAACTCTAAATATAAAACGTTGAAACACATTATTAAAAAAATAAAAAACTATCCATATACTACAGTATCATTTATATTAAATTTTATTTTTTAATTCAAGAAAAGTCAAATTATCCGCACAGTAATCATCTTCTCTGAAATTATGAAAATTAGGAGTGGGTAAAGGAATTGCACTAAATTAAATTGTTAAAAACTATTGTGAAAAAAAAGAATTAATTCATCTAAATTGAATTGAAAATTAGTTCAGATCAACTAAATTGAATTATTTTTTATTTTATTAAATTACGTTGCACTGTAATATAAATTGAAGTACTATGTACTTTAACTTATTTATGAACTACACTATTGTCGAAATAAACTACACTATTTCTGTATCGAATTACAACTATAATATTTTTGAACTAGCTTGATTTTTTATAAAAAATTTGCAAAAGAGAAAAATTAACAATGGTCAAAGTTGGTTGATTTTACTGAGTTCGATTGAATTTCCACCGGAGTCGGTTGGGTCAAATTCACACAAATTTTGATTGTGTTGTCTCAGTCAAATTTTGATCATGGTCAACTTGATCGAATTTGTCCAAATTTCGACTGAGACTGACTCAGCCAAATTTGGTTTGAGCCGACTCAATCGAATTTTTCCCAAATTGCAGTTTGTGTCTACTCAGCTGAATTCAATCCAATTTAAGTTGGGACCAACTCGACCGAATTCGGCTAAATTTCAGTTTGGGTCAAATTTGGTCGAATTCAACCAAATTTTAGTCGTGATCGACTTAGTCAAATTCGACCAAATTCTAATCGTGGTCGACTCGGCCATATTTAGCCAAATAACAATCGGGGCAAACTCGGTCAAAGTTGGCCAAATTTCACTCGAGGTCAACTCGGCCGAATTCAGTTGAGGTTACCTTCATCGAATTTGATCGCGACGACTTAATGGAATTCGACAAATTTCTGGTGGTGGTCAACTTAGTTGAATTTGGCCAAATTTCAGTCAAGATCAACTCGACCGAATTCGATCAAATTTCAGCCATGACCGATTAGGTCTGATGGCAATCTCCTTAGCTAAGTTGGGCCAAAGCTAAAAGAGAAAGCCATGTGTTGGGGTTCAAGGATGATGGATGTGGAAGCTTTGATAAACATGGGAGCTATGCTCACAGTTTTGTGTGGTTTATGGATGATGGAGGCAGTGTTTATTGGTGCTCTAAGAGAGGTTGGGTCAACTCTTGGAGGAAGGTGGCTAGAGGAGGCCACTTGGGTTACTCTAGCCTAGGCTGAACTTAAAATAGCAGTATGGCACAAAAATGGCAACATAACTTTATTCTAAATCAAAGGTATTACATGAAGGAGAAACACCTTTACTTATAGGCTAAGGTGTCTCAAAATTGACAGAAACTTAAACCTATGGAGAGATGGAGAAAATCATCTCCATTAAGAGAATGACAAGTGGCAAAAGTCTTCTCTAGTGAGAGGGGGACATGTGGCCACTACCTATGGAGAATCACCTCCATTCCTGGAGTGATATGTGGCTACTAACTAGGAGGAAAAACTATCCAAAGGTAGGGTGACACATGGCATGGATGGCCCACCCCTCCTAGTCCACCAAGTTAGATGAAACATTTACCCCTTGGTCAACAAGCCCAAAATCATGTCCCACTTTGTTCAACATTGGGCCTCGGCCCTTTGTTGACTTGAGTGATCAAAATCCTATTCTACTTGGCCCAAAACACAAGGCCCAAAATAAATCCTACACTACTAGTGGTATGCCATCATCTCATCCCTCTTGAAAAGGATTTGCCATCAAATCTTCAAGTTTGGTCAACTTGTGTATCATTCCTTTAGGATCAAAGATCTATATGCAGTTTGTTGAGATTATTGATAGGGGAAGCACTGGTTTAGTTGAACCTACAATCTCAGAGCTTCTGGTTTTTTATGATGACAACACATAATTAATAACACATGTGTTTATGTGTTACATGTTCATTACTTTCATGATTATGATTATATGAGAACATGTTTGTGTTGTGTTGATCATTGCAATTCACTATGTTATATATGTGAGATTTAATCTGTGATTGCATGAAAATTGTTTTGGAAAAGAACAACCACATGCACTTTAGTTGAACTTAAATTGTGTAACAAAACAGCAATTTTATGTCGACTTCATTATGAAGTAAGTCGATTAAAACTCGTGGCTTTGCACAAACTTTTTCAAAATATGTTGTGAGAATTTTTGAAGAGAAAGTTTTTTAAAACTATGTTTTTAACTGTGACAAAGTCAACTATGTGCGCAAGCCATTCGACTAAGTTTGTTATGTTTTGAAATTCTATTAATGCTTCTCTTAAAGTGTCTAACGACTATATTTTTAAATATGTTTGACCAAGCATTAATTGTGAAACAACTGCATTAATTGTGTAATCAATTAATTGTTATGACTGCTACTAACTGTTATAACTGTCATGACTGTATTCGACTTCATTAGTGGCAAAGTCGACTGAAGAGTGTCAGATTTGTGAAAAACTATATATTGACGCAAATTTGAATTCTGTAAGAAGTTTTGAGAATCTAACGAATTGTGTGATAATTTTCATATTAATGTTGTCTTACAAATTTGGGAAAAGCTCCAAGAACTCTTAAAGAAGACCATGGTGTTCATCTTTGGAGATAGCTTGAAGAGCAAGGATTGTGTACTTTTACTGTCTGATCAAATCTGCACTGAAGGTGTCTGTTTTGGTGGAATTCAATCTTGTGAAGATTGGTGTTGTTGCCCTGTTGTGACTACAGGAAGGGGACATCTTACTACTGGTCTTTGTGTGTTGTAAGTCTATATTTTGATTAGAGGGTTAGAGAGGTGTTTTATATTTTTTTACGTAGAGGTCTCTATAAAAGCCTTGTTGTAAAAACCTTGATCATTATAGTGCATTTGCTTCCTGGTGAGGAAGGACATTGGATGTAGGCTTGGCCAAACCAGTATAAAAAGCAATGTTTTATTTTTCTATCCCTACACTTTTACTTAATCGACTTTGTACTGCGTTTAATCAACTTTATTTTCGCTGCACTTAAAAATCTTTTTCTTTGTGTTTCAAGAAAGTTTTTAAAGTCATCTACTTTGCGAAAAAGATTTAAAGAAAACATTGTTTTTGTATTTCAAGAATTCACCCCCCTTTTGGTGTTGAAAATTAAGCCATTCTNGGCTGAACTTAAAAGAGCAGTATGGCACAAAAATGGCAGCATAACTTTATTCTAAATCAAAGGTATTACATGAAGGAGAAACACCTTTACTTATAGGCTAAGGTGTCTCAAAATTGACAGAAACTTAAACCTATGGAGAGATGGAGAAAATCATCTCCATTAAGAGAATGACAAGTGGCAAAAGTCTTCTCTAGTGAGAGGGGGACATGTGGCCACTACCTATGGAGAATCACCTCCATTCCTGGAGTGATATGTGGCTACTAACTAGGAGGAAAAACTATCCAAAGGTAGGGTGACACATGGCATGGATGGCCCACCCCTCCTAGTCCACCAAGTTAGATGAAACATTTACCCCTTGGTCAACAAGCCCAAAATCATGTCCCACTTTGTTCAACATTGGGCCTCGGCCCTTTGTTGACTTGAGTGATCAAAATCCTATTCTACTTGGCCCAAAACACAAGGCCCAAAATAAATCCTACACTACTAGTGGTATGCCATCATCTCATCCCTCTTGAAAAGGATTTGCCATCAAATCTTCAAGTTTGGTCAACTTGTGTATCATTCCTTTAGGATCAAAGATCTATATGCAGTTTGTTGAGATTATTGATAGGGGAAGCACTGGTTTAGTTGAACCTACAATCTCAGAGCTTCTGGTTTTTTATGATGACAACACATAATTAATAACACATGTGTTTATGTGTTACATGTTCATTACTTTCATAATTATGATTATATGAGAACATGTTTGTGTTGTGTTGAACATTGCAATTCAATATGTTATATATGTGAGATTTAATCTGTGATTGCATGAAAATTGTTTTGGAAAAGAACAACCACATGCACTTTAGTTGAACTTAAATTGTGTAACAAAACAGCAATTTTATGTCGACTTCATTATGAAGTAAGTCGATTAAAACTCGTGGCTTTGCACAAACTTTTTCAAAATATGTTGTGAGAATTTTTGAAGAGAAAGTTTTTTAAAACTATGTTTTTAACTGTGACAAAGTCAACTATGTGCGCAAGCCATTCGACTAAGTTTGTTATGTTTTGAAATTTTGTTAATGTTTGTCTTAAAGTGTCTAACGACTATATTTTTAAATATGTTTGACCNTGAGATTCATGGGAAGAGGCAACATATTTAAAACAAGAGAGAGAAATGTGTGAGGGAAATTAATAAAATATCTGACCAGTTTGTTTCGTCCTCTTTAATGGTCGCACAACTATCACTCCCACCCTTCGACGGTTCCATAATGTTTACGAAAATTATAGAATTTGTGGTAGCTTTAAGCATTCAATTCTTACTCTGTCAGACCATTCATTTTGGACACAGCAAAAATGAGGAAAGGGTGGCGTAACATATAGGAACAGAATAAAACTCGTAATTTTTTTTTATATATATAAACTTCTATTGGACATCATATATAC